TCCACCCCGGACCACCCCAATGATGCCCTTGAAGTGATGTCCCAGTGCCTGGAGGCCGTGCGGATCTGGATGGGGAGAAACAGACTCAGGCTCAACCCATCCAAGACCGAGTGGCTTTGGTTTCCGACATCCCGATATAGTCAGTTGGTGCCATCACTGACTATTGGGGGCGAGTCACTGGCCCCCACGGAGAGGGTTCGCAACTTGGGTGTCCTCCTGGACTCACGGCTGTCTTTAGAAGAGCACATGACGGCCGTGGCCAGGGGGACTTTTTATCAGGTCCACCTGATTTGCCAGTTGCGTCCCTTTCTGGATCGGGACTCGTTAAATACGGTCACTCATGCTCTCGTTACTTCCCGCTTGGACTACTGCAATGCTCTCTACATGGGGCTCGGAGCACCTGGAGGCTCCAGCTGGTCCAGAATGCGGCCGCGCGGGTGGTTATGGGAGCGACGTGGTGCTCCCATGTGACCCCCCTCCTGCGCGAGCTGCACTGGCTCCCGGTGGTCTTCCGGGTGCGCTTCAAGGTTTTGGTTACCACCTTTAGAGCGCTCCATGGCATCGGACCGGGGTATCTACGAGACCGCCTTCTGCTACCAATAGCCTCTCATCGACCAGTACGCTCCCATAGAGAGGGGCTCCTCAGGGTGCCGTCGGCCAAACAGTGTCGACTGGCGGCCCCCAGGGGGAGAGCCTTCTCTGTGGGGGCACCTACCATCTGGAACGAGCTCCCCCCAGAGATACGGAAGATCCCGGACCTGCGCACGTTTCGCCGTGCTCTCAAAACTTTTCTATTTCAGCAAGCTGGCCCGGCCTAACTCCCATCTTTTAAATTTTTAAATTTTTTAATTCGTGATTTTACAAATTGGGTGTTTTAATCTGTGTTTCGGCCGAAATATTTAATAATTTTAAGGGATTTTTTAATATTTGTATTATCTGTATTTTATCTTGGCTGTTCACCGCCCTGAGTCCTTCGGGAGTAGGGCGGTATAGAAATTTGATTAATAAATAATAAATAATAAATAAATAAATAATAAGGCTGATAAGCACCCACCTTTATCTCCCTTGAAATGCTGCCAAATACCTAATTGCCAATTACCTTTGCAAGGCCAAACGGAGCACAAAGTCAAAACGGAGCTTCAGAGTTTAAACCGACCAGAACGAACAAAGTTGCTTCCTGCAAAGGCTCATGTCCCTTAGCTCCATTTTTATGTCTTATGGGAGGGGCCAATCATCACCAAGCCTTATTCCCGAGTCATCCCTTTTTTCTTAACTGTTCTTGCCTTCTGGCAGCTCTGCGCATGCACTCTCTGGGAACAGGCTTCCCCTGTTCCTGTGCCTCGCTGCTGTCAGACTCTGGAGACTCCGGAGTCAGCACATAACTCCCAGATGGCCCTGGCCCCATCTCTGCCTCCGATGCAGAGCCCTCGTCCGAGCCTTCCCCAGACTCCAGGACTGGCCCATGTTCCTCCCTAGCCTCCTCACTGTCCGACTCTGCTGCTAGCTCCGCAGGCCGCCGGCAGACCACAACACAGTTCACTTTATGATTTCAATTTCTGGTGTCTAGTACACAAACAGGGTGAATTGATAGGTCACCTGCCACCAGGAGGTGAATTCCTAGCACCCTCTCACCCCTGCTAGTTGCAAAAATTCAACCACTGATGTTGAATTAGAGCTGGAAAAGTATGGAAGCAAAAGGCAAGAACTAGAGTGGCCAGAAAAAAAAACGTTGTACATGCTCAAGCGCGTGGAGCCATTACTTATTGCCAGAGATATAAACAAAATGAGCTAAAATTCTTAATATAGGAAGCAAGTTTGATTTTATGGTAATTAGAAAGATTATTACTAGAATTTAGGAACTTGATACAATTTTTTTAAATACTGTATATATTTTATATGTGTCCTGTTTTATGCTTTAAATTTGGCAATAAATCACATTCAACAAGCTGTTTCAATAGGACATAACAAAATTTAAGATCTTACAAAAGAGAACCATTTCTAGAAGATGAGAAACTAAAAACGTATTCAAATCACATGACTGGGACTGGGCAAACATTTATTTGAAATACTCTGAAGTTAGAGCATGAATTGGACACTGGGTGGCTGCAGCATCAGTTAGCTAGCATGGCTTATTTTCCATACTCTAAATCTGACAACAGCCCCCATATTTCCACAGCTGTACCCACCTAGTTTTCCAGGATTAGCACTTTAGGCTAGTTAAGTTGACAAGAGATGGCCGAGATCTACAGCATAGGTAGCAAGTTATTTATAGGCATACTTTCAGGTGGAAGAGCTTGTATAAAATAGTGTCATATTTGTCTAGTAGTATAGCTATATTGCCCATTTGTTCCACATTTGAGTGGCTACAGTACAATAATCAAAAGAAGAATTGATGAAACCAGTGAAGAGTGAGATGCTCTGGTTCAGGATGGATCATTTTTACACATACACATATAATTTTACTGTACAACTATTGATATTGTACTTTACTATATTTTTTTTTAAAGTTAGAAATCAGTTGGATTGCAGCAGAGGATAAAAGTAACTAATAAAATACTTTTTTCTTTTTCATATTCTTTAGCACAGCATTTTTTTCCCTCTGTGTTTGTCCTTGGGGTTCCAAGGATTGTTCTGTAAGTCCTGATTTGGTCTGTTTGTTTTGCAGCATCAGCATCCATGCATCATCAGTTTACTATGATTTTGAGAGAAAAAGGGAAGATTTTAGTACCTTGAAGCAAATAACATGCAGCAATTCTAACAGAACATTTTATCCTATGGCTAATTAGCAAGCTGCTTAAAAGTTTAGAAAAGTTCTGATGTTCTTACCACCCACATAATTGCATTCAATTCATTAAAATACATTTTAAATAAAAGAATTGCTCCAGGAGAGAATGCCTGTTCCATGACTGTACCATCTTCCTTGGTTATTGGCATGTGCTTCAATCTCTAAAGAGTCTGCATTAAGTGCCATATTCAGTTCAGGAGTTACAAATCTTGTTTTGGCATGGATCCCTTTCAGAGCCTAATGAAACCTATGGATTTCTCAGAAATATGCATTTAAACACATACATATAAACTAAAATAAATGCAAAATAAAATAAAATGCATAGATCAAATGTATTATGAAGGAAATCAATCGACACTGACTTAAAAGGCCTGTGCGCATATGTGTGTACACATTGATAATTTCATAAGATATTTTAATGGAAATACTGTATACATATACTTTTAGAATAAGATTTCTAATTGCAAGGGATGGAATCAGAACTGAGCCATCAACCTACAAAGTTTGTCTGTCATTTAATGGATTCATCTTGGCCAAGTGGATCAGCAGACTTGAACTTTGTATTTTACCATGGTGTAGTAGAAAGTAGTGTAACAAATCAGTTCCTCTGGTCTGGTCAGTGTGGAGAGTCAGGATTGCTAAGAGAGCAATTAAGAGATTGTAAGGAGCTATTAAGAAAGAAAAGGAAATTGACATAGAACTGGAATCAGCTAATTTTAACAGAAGAATTGAACAATTAGGTTCTATCACAGTAAACAATAGTAAGAATTCACAGGACAAAATGGAAAGTATGCAACAGATATGGGTGGAAAGGATTTAGTTCAACAGGATGTAAGGTGCACTTCTGACTAGAGTTCAGATTCCATTAATAAATTAGGTCCTGATCAACCTTTCGGTTTATTAATTGATTGCACAATTAAAATGTGGCAAGAGACCTGGATGAGATAATCTAATTTCAAAAAGAACTGTTGGAATTGCATGATAGTCACCAGTTTAGCCATGCTCTTTACAAACACTGATGAAACAGCACTTAATCCTAATGATTGGAATCTATCACTAATTTGGGTAAGGTCGGCAAAGCTGGCAAGATTTTGGAAGACTATTCCACAAAATGGAAAATATAGAACAACCAAATTCTTCCTGACAGAGCCAAATCACAATCTGAAAAGTTGAAGGGTAAAGTGGAATAACTTTTTAAAAAAAAAAACCTTACTATGGATTAAAACACTTCAAGAAAAATAAGCATTGAGAAGAATGTGTGTGCATACATATTTACACACATTTGCAGTCAAGATGTGAAACTAAGAAAAATATAATGGAAAAAGGGATTCTCACATAAAAACCAGGACACAGAAAGAGGGGAAGAGAAAAAGACAGCATATCTAAGTAAGTTAGGAGAAATTAGAACAAGAGAAATCATTTTAGAAGCAAAATAAAGAAAAGGCAGCAAGTATGAATGATATAGAAAAGCAGAGTGGGAGAAGAAGAGAGAAAACACTGTCCGTAAACAAGCAAGCAATAAAGGATGGATGTACTTCTGGTTCCTATCCATTTTAGCCAGATGAAGAGATGACAGAAATCTGAAAATGAAGCTTTTATGCTTGTTTCAGTCCACTTCCTGTATGTTCCGATCCCATTTTGTCTTACTCCAGCTAGCAAGTGCTTGTATGATCAATAACAAATGAAGAGTCTCTGGCAATATTTTTTTTTTAATTGAAGCAGTAGTCACATGATTTGTGCACATAGCTTTCTAGAATATTGACAGAATAAATTTCAGTGGTCATCTGACCTAAATTTTTTGCTTGTGCAAATAAACATCACATTTGATAATACATTATCAAAGACCAAAGATCAGTTCAAAGATAAATAATGTGCTGATATGTTAAAGGAACAGATCTGTCTGATATGACAGGGTGCCCTCTTAGAACCTGCACCTGATCTAAGGAAATGCTTTAGAAATGCCCTTAAACCCACCCTCTGGGTGAACTGTTCTCTTGTTTCTCAACAAAATCAAACACACATCATAGGACCTGTTTTGGCTTTTAATAATATCATAAGTTAAAAGAAAAGATGCCAATTCTAAGTCCTTTTATTATTATATTCCATCCGACCCATCTTCTGAGTGGAGAAGAGGTACAGACCTAGAAAAGATGCCACACCAAAGAGTCCAGGTAATAGACAGGAAATATTGTGAAATAAAGACCACACACTGTAATTTTTAAATTTCATGACCAGGCTAACCTACATTTTATTTAATGCAAATTACAGTACCAGTTAACTATTTCTGAACCAAGTCACACAGAACATAATGTATTTACAAAGGAGCCGAAGGGAGGAGATAAAATAATGAACATTAAGCATACATACCACAAAAAGTTTATACTTAAAATGAAAAAGTAATCAGTCACAGAGGCATTCAAGTAGTAATAACGTTATACATGTTTTGCTTCTTTGAATCAAGACAGCTTTGCGTGTGTATGCAATAGTTTGTATACAACCCACAGTCCATTATATATATATTTAGAACTCTGCTTTTAAGATGAAAGTGATCACGTTAATTGTGTGTACAAGCCCAAGTGATCAGCAACATAGTAACAAATGCAAATTTTACAAGCAAGCATTATTATTTATATATATAAATGGTTTTTTGTGGTTTTTTCTCAAAAAACCAAGAACAAACAACACTAGGAAGAGACATATCTCAAGCTAACCCTTTAGGTACCAGTCATTTTGCTTTTATTGCCTTGTTGCAAAATGAAACAAGGAATTAGTTCCTGTAGAAATATTAGGAATTAAAAGGAGTTCTGATGAGCACATTTGAAAAATATCAGTCCTGGGCTAGACAACAAACTGTGCTTTTTATTACTGGCTTTGATCTCTAGAGGTGAAGGTATTTAATGGAGAAAAATGCTGATAACATTTTTAATTTAGGATTGTTTCAAATTAACACTAATTACAGACATCAACTATTTCTTGGCTTATTCACAGAAGGAAGCTTGTTCAAGCACCAGCTAGATGACTTTAAAATAATCTATTTTTAAAAATCCATAACATTGTTTGAAAGGACATACTTCAAAATTAAGATTACTAGTGCCTTTTTCCTGATTTTCAGTCAAAGACACACAGTCATTAATGCCATTTTAGGATTATGCACAACTGCAACACAGACTAAGGATAGATTGAGAGACTATACGGTACTTCATTTAAAACAAATAAAATTTAAATTCCGAGTGGACTGTCAGAAACAAAATACTTTCACTGACCTTTATGTCACCAGAAAAATGGCATCCTCTGTCTTACTGGAATGAACAGAAGATGGTTACAAAAAGCTTTTAAAAAAGCAACCTTTGGTTTGATAAAAAGTTCAGCATTTTGCCATTAAAAAAAAACCTCATGTAGAATATTAACAAGTTGAATATATATGAGCAGAGTTTTAAAATCAAGGCCCTTGTGCTGAGCACAAAAATTAACGTTCATAAAAAAATTGGCAAGTAAATGAGAATGGAGGTGCTAATCTATGTTAATAGACACTTAATACCACCACTTTCTGTCAAAAAAGGCTTGCAAGATTTTTAGATCTAAAATATACAGATGTATATATGTGATCCCAGTTCTTCCCTCCCCAGTTACAGTTGCTTACTTATTTTACAATCTCCAATTCTGTCTCTGAATGAACAACATGGCCAAGTAAAAACTCTAAGCAGCAGTGATCCAACAAGACCTACTGAAGAACATATTGGGCAAGAATCTGTAAAAGATAAACCTGTCATTTTAGATACCAAGGTGTTATCGATATAATGAAACCGGTTACCGTGGGGATATGTTTAAATAAGTGAGCAAAAATACTGGGAAAATGGTGGCTATTCTGATGCTGCTGAGCCATAACTCGTTGCTATCGATTCAGCAGGACGAGCACAGCCATGATGTTTGGACGCATTTTCTTTTAATGCTGCTACTGACCATGAAATGGTTGAAAAAAGGAAAGCGTATCTGCACATATGAGGCATCTGTTACAAAAAGGAAGAAAAAAAATCATGGAAGCAAAGGCACTCCAAACTATATAGATACACTATACATTGCTAGAGTTATTGTTACAATAATACAGGCCAGTTATCTACTGTACATAGTTAGAATTATATGGCTTTAAAAAGCTTGTCTACATTTTGTCTGATTATTAAAACAAATTAACTGCCCTGAATGGTAACATTTGTTCATTAATAACAGTTCCTGTGTCCACGTATTTACATATAAAGCAATACAACTTAAAAGTTTAAGAACTAATGTACAAACTTGAATTTGGTGAGGAGCTTTTGTCAGTTTATTTACAAAAAATGATACTGAAACACCTGGATCTAGATTTATATAAAATTTTGCTTGCAGTTCTGCCATGATCCTTAGGGGAAAAAAATCAGGATCCTAGTTTTTACACACACACACACACACACACACACACACACACACACTAAAAAAAAGTGTTAAAGCTTTTAATTATTCTCTCCTATTATTTAAACCAATGAAAATAATACAAAACCTCCTAAGATCTCCTCTTTCTGAACTCAGACCACAAAACTAAGCTTTGACTATGATGTCCGCACATTCAACATAGAAGATGCCGGTGGGCTCAAGCCATTTCAGCAAGAAAGTCTTCCAGGCCTCCCATCCATTATGGATTCTTTTCTAGTCAGCTTTAGTTTTCGAAAGATAGCTTCCTGACTCGTGGCTCTTAAAAATAGTTTAAGTTATGATTTGTGTGGTCTTTAAAGTCATCTGATTTTTTTTAGAGAAGCCACTACTCTTTTCTGAGCATGCCCCATTCTCCATTTGAGACCCTACTTCTCTTCTCTCAATGACTTCACACCTAACAAATGAATATAAACTACTTGCTCTCCTTGGTCCAATTCTAATTTCAAAAGGTTCACCAATGAAAGATATTGCAAGGTAACGTGAATCTGATGTAAAGCTAAATAAGTACAGCTATCAAATCAAAGAGGAAGCTAGTCACAAGAATCCATGCATTAGCAATGACATTCATGCATTAGTAATGACATTCTTTCTCAAACTGTTTCAAGGCATATTGCTTTCATGTCACAGAGACCTTTGGCCACAATTTAATTGTCCAGAACAAAGACATAGGAAACAGGCATTTCTGCTTCTGGATGTAAAAAATAAAAGGCAGCGCTATGTATATGCATGAATGCTTGTGTGTACATGTATAACACAATACACACACACACACACACACACACACACACACACACACATACACTTACTTGACACCTGGAGCAAGTAATCTATTTGTCTAGAGATTTAATATTCTCCATTGTGACAAAAGCAACTTCTGAAAACCAGTAAACAAAGGTTAGAAAAGAAGAGGCTGAAAAAGGTGAATTTAAATATAAACCAGGATTTAAATCTACTTGTTAAATAAATCTAACAACTTAAAAACACTGTATGCTATGAAAATAGTATGTCCATTCACATATCCTTGCATCTTTTCCTCAGTGTTCTTCTTCAAGAAAGAAATTAGAATCAAAATGAATGAACAGAATGCAGGAAGATTTTTCTATTTTTTGCACATGGGGGGATATGCACATCTACTCTCATCTACTGAGGTGTGGATATGATTAGTCATGCTTTCTTCTATGCTTTCCAGATTTTTTAAATATCCAACTCCTAAAACATTGGGATAGGTACATTCAAGCCAATAGTGTATGTCTGCAGAATTCTTCAGAGGCAAATGAAATTTAAGGTGATTTGTTCCTTATTATTTCAAGCTTTTTTCCCCACACTGTAACTTCCCTCCTCCTTCATAGTTTCCTTTGGCAACTCAGCATATTGTAGCACTTCATCTTGTTCTTCTTCCTCACCTAACACGAAGACATTTAATTCCAGCAAATAATACTCAAGATGAGCAACTTGTTAAACTCCTAACCAAATTCAAGTTGTGCACTACACCAAAAATTGAAACATCACTTAAAAATACAAGGCTTCAGCAGAATGAGGGGTTTCTTTTTCCTTTTTTCTGGTGATGACGGTGATTGTTGGAGGGCGTCAGATAAGATTCCTGATTCTAAAGTACACAACAGCAATTATCTGAAATTAGAAGATTGTCATGGGAAGAGAAATTGGTGTTCTAATAATCCATTTCTCTTTTCTCACCCCACTTATTCCCCTGCCCCAAAAAGCCTGCAGAGTGAGCATACAATGAAACTGGTTTTTTACAAGGTTAAATAAGAACAACAATTTTTAAAAATCCAACACTATAATGAACAGTTTTTCCCCTTCTTTTTACATTTTCTTTCCAAATATGACCAGTATTGCTGAGTAAGACTCAAAATTACTGGTGATTGTTCCTGTACAAGCTGCTGCTTGAGATCAGTTCAGGTGGAGTTGGAAGCTGATGTTGAAGCTACATTATTGGTCTGAACTCGATCACCTGCACTGGCATCTGCAAATATCAGAAAAAAATATGAAAGAGATGGTTACATGTCAATAATATGAAATTTTATGGACAAATTACTATTCTGCCTTTTGTCCCAGGAAGGATAAAGGAACTAAGGAAAGACCCAAATTTGTCATCTAGAAATGGTGCATTCCAGAGAGAATGGCATCTTTGGCACCAGAGGTTATATTTCAGAATGTTTTTCATCTGCTGTTGACAGATGGATGGATGGATGGATGGATGGATGGATGGATGGATGGATGGACGGACGGACGGACAGACAAGACAGACAGACAGACAGAACTTCATATGTACAGTACTATGTTTAATTACTTCACACAATAGACCATGAGTTTTTAAAGATTTGGTCTGTAATCTGCCTAGTGAGAGGATGAGCACAATTTAATTCTACAAATGAAGCTAATATTGTCAGATGTAGAGGAGAAATGTTAGATATTAAAAATTTGCCATGCTTCCTACCTTTGCTAAATGTTAAGTTTTTTTCAACTTTTTTTGAATTGGTATTACAGACAACTATTACACAAGGAAAACTATTCAGCAAGAAAGAAAAGGCATGGTCTCATTTCTCTGTGACAAGGTAATTTTTCAGCAGGCTCACAGAATGATTTTTTAACGAAGGATTGAAAAAGGAAAATCTGTTTGAGACACCCTAAGAAGGTAAACCAAAAATATTAATCAAATAGATGCCACATATTAACCAAATAAAGTAACAAGAGAAATATTCACCAACTTTGCCCCATGTACACAAAGGCTGAGAAAATAATTAATTGTCCAAAATAGATAGTGAATAAGAGAATAAAGTGGGTTTTAACTGTCTGTCTAGCTGCTAATCTGCTTGCCATCTGTGGAAAAACTGAGAAAGATAATCAAGAAACTCAAGATACAGGTAAATTATGCTGATTTTCATTGGGCTTTTGGTTTGACTATAGTAGTGAAACCACTTGAGTCACTTTGATGTATTTATTACCTCTGCTGGAGAGAGATACAGAGGGTAAAGTGCTTATCCATTTTCTCCTTGATGAGTTTTAATACTGGTTGAATCAACAGCTTCATTATCCTGTTGTTTCTGGGCTCAGTTTAGAGTTGCTTTTGGACTTCACAGTCCTAAATGGCACAGTAGGCAAGTATATGAAATACTTAGGATTACTTTTTTTGTGAAACATGGTTTACTGGACTTGTCATGGTTGATAGCCACAGATAAAACAGCTCTAGAAGAGAACACATTAAGTGTATATCACAGGTGTCAAACTCAAGGCCCGCAGGTCACCTCCGGCCCGTGGGGTGCTTAAATCTGGCCAGTGGGACCGACCTGGAAATATCAAACGACCAGCCAATGGCCCATTTTTGGCCTCCACAACCTCCTGCAGCCCTCTGCCGGCCGAAAACGGGCTGCATGGGGGCCCATTTTCAGCCCGCAGAGTGCTGCAGGAGGACTGGATTACAATTATGTGGTCTCAAGTAAGTGCCTGATCTGGATAGAAAACAAGCAACATCCTATGTTAATACTATTGTTTAATGCCAGATTTTACATACTGTAGGTCCATTTAATCTACAATCAACAATCTATAATTGACAGCCATTTCTATTTACTATCCTGGAAATTTATCTCTGCTGTTAGATCTTGTATTATCATGTTATTTATGCTATTGTATTTTTATTATTAGTTGAATAATAAAAATGCAATAGTATAAATAGCTTTTCTGCCTGGAAAAGCAATTTACTATTTAACAATGGGGTATAAATTTAGAAATAAAAAGTTTAGTGGAGTATGAAGAATAATAAATGTTTGCCAGTAATATCTTATACAAGAGATAGGAAATGGTTAGAACTGTGGAAAGAAAGAAAGGGAAAAATGTATCTTGAGCCTGTGTTAAACGCCCACACCCACCCCGGGCAACATTACCACCACCACCCCAGCCCTCCGAGGTCAAACACAACCCTGATGCAGCCCACAATGAAATCGAGTTTGATACCCCTGGTGTATATCAATGGTTATTAGCGGTGGCAAAAAAAACGCTTCCAGAGATTTGCAAATTATTTGACTCGTGTGTATAATGGTATGTGGGAATAACCTTGGTACACAGGGCAATGAGACATGGACAAAGGAATCGTCAGATAAAAGGTAATTTAGCCTGCAGTGGGATTGTAAGTGGGCTGAGAAGAGACTCTCCCTGGTTCCTTAAATAAAGTAGACTTAGTTCATCTGGTTGGGTTTCCTGTTTGTTCATCAGGCTGACATTGGAAGAGGTTCCCTTGAGTGAAACTCAACTCCTGGTGCCTTCATGAACATGTTCATATAGTTTTCTCAGTAGCATGATGCCTTCTCCCAGACAAGACTTTTGCCTTTTAGGCTAATTCATTCAGGATGAATTGCCTTTATATTCTGTTAAAACACTATGACTATGTAGGATCTTGTATTCTTTTTCCTCCCATTCCAAGTCTCACAAATGATTTTCTTTTCTTGAATAGGTTTGACTAATCATTAAAAACTGGCAGAATAAATGTTCGCTCATTTTAGTGGGTTTTTAGGAGCCAATTATGAAATCCATTATTTATATATCCCAAGTACTACTATGCCTCCGCACAGTGGTAGGGCAGTGTATGTGTGTCCATTTCCAGTTGCTCAGTTAAAACAAACAGGCTCCTTTAGGAATATAGAAAAATGCTGTACAGGGATATCACTTGAGTATCAATAGCAAAAGCATCCTTCATATTGCATGGAAGAAAGTCACTCCTGTATTTTACTATGAAAACCAAGGCCCTGATGGTCCCTTGGGGTCAGGAAAAAGGAAGAATGAGAAGAGAAACCCATAGGAATGACATTCACCCATGTGGGCCATGGCAACCGACGGCAAGAGACCCAAGTGGAGCTGGAGGAACCAGATGAAGAATCAAGTGCAGGCGAACTGGAGTGAGAGGACTGGATGCTGGAGCCAGCCATAAGTTCCTGAGGGGATTGTTTGGTACTCAAAGCTCGAGAAGCCCTAGCCCTGGGGGCACATCCTGCTGATCAGCCGACTCCAGCCCCGGCAAGCAAGGGGCAACTACCTCTGCTGCTGCAATGGCGGTGACAGCAAGACCCTCAGCAACTGCAACCATCAAGCTGGAGAGGACACAAGACACCAGTCCTGGGAGTAAAGTTCAACTGAGACCCCAAGCAATTGGAGTTCTTCCTGGCACAAGTTTGGACATACATGCAAGAGTATGGTCTAGAAATAGCCACTGAAGGGACTAAGGTCCAATGCATGACCATGGCGTTAGAGGGGTAACAGCTGAATGGATGGCACCCTCCACAACAATGACGCTCCAGAGCTGAGAAACTTTGACCACTTCATGGCTGCATTTCAGAAGTGCTTTGAACACCCTCTAGCCCAGAGGTCTTCAAACTTGGCAGCTTTAAGACTTGTGAAAGCATAGCTGACTGGAGAATTCTGGGAGTTGAAGTCCACAAGTCTTAAAGCTGCCAGGTTTGAAGACCTCTGCTCTAGCCAATCGCAAAGCCAGAGATCACATAAATGTCATCAGTTAAGGGCACAGCAGGGTGGCTGAGTACACCCAGGAGTTTCGTGACGTGGCCTGCCAACTGGCTAGAAGACATCTTGATTGGATGTTTCCGAGACAGGGTAAGTGATGAGATCTACAACACCTGCATTTCTAGAGCATGCCCACCACCCACCACCCCCAATGGCTAATATATGCTAGCAGAGGAAGTGGAAATCAACCTGGCTCAATCCAAATACTGGCCGAGCTGTGGATGGCGAAGATCCCCTCCTGAAAAGAAAGAAGCCCCAAAACTAGTGCCCATGCCACTGGCTTCACTGGCTGCTTCAGGTGTGGGAAGGAGGGTTGTCCAGCTGCTTCAGGTGTGTGAAGGCGGGGCACCAATTCACTGGCTGATTCAGGTGTGGGACAGAGGAGCACTGACCTGTCGACTGCTGAGCTGCACACCTAGCCCAGAAGGTGACTTAGGGTCCTGCCCCAAAACCAGCAAAACCACATCAGCAAGCTCTTGAAACTGTCGTGAAGGGAGTAGAAGTCATAGAGTTCACCCCATCCCCCAATGAAGGCAGGAGTACTCCGACTGACCCGGTCAGCAGCCCAGTGGATAGCGAGTCGGACTACAAGATGATCCTTTGGTAAGTCACCCAGTCAACCCAGTGACCATCCCCATAGAACTTGTGGTTTAATCTTTGGAGCAAAAAGGGACCCTTGTAGTTCTCCTGGACTCGGGGTGTACCAGTTCAAACCTGTCCTTGTCAAGAAACTGGGTGTGAGACTCAAACAGCTTAAAGTGCCCATAGCTTTTTGCCAGATGGATGGCTCAGTGGCGGAACATCCCAGTTACATTTGTTACTGAACCAATAGAGATGAGGATAGATGCACACACAGAGACCTTGAGTTTCATTGTAGCCCCTGGAATGGAAAGGACTGGCTTCACTCCAGAAATGGAACCCCTATGTAAACTGGAAGAGGTGGCTGCTAAAGATCCAGCAAGCCAGCTGTGAAGGGGAAGGGGAAAAGGGCTATCAAAAACCTACCCCGAAGCTGCAGTAGGTGAAACTGAAAAGGGAGGTGGGAGTAGCTGCCAAAGATCAGCCCCAGGGTGACCTTCAGATCCCCAAAGAGTACTGAGACTTACTGGACGCATTCAGTGAGAAGGGGTCAGACGTGCTCCCATCCCAGCAGCCAACTAACTGTTCCATAGTAATCCCACTGAGGGCCAAACTAACCAAACCTAAACTGTATTCCACTAGGGAATTTCAGACTTTTATAGACAAAAAGTGTGGATTCACGCCAGACCGAGGGTGGCTGCCCCAGTACTTTTTAGGAAAAAGAAGGATGGGTCCCTTCATCTATGTATGGACTATCATGGACTCAATGTAGTGTGTGTGGGGAAAACATTTACTCACTCCCCCTCATGAAGGAAATGGTGAAGGGAAAGATCTTCACCATGTTGCATTTGCGGGAGGCGTACTACCAAGTGA